TTGTTGTACATTCTTCATGTAATTACAAACTGTAGGGGAACCCCATATGGGACCTCATATATCAAACTAATAAAATTTTATTCGCCAGGGTCGAATATCTTGGAATTAGATTTAGTCAAGTGTAAGTGCTGGAAGAATTTCTCCAACGTCTTCTTGTTTGTAATCCGAGCTGTGTTGTCTTGCCCTGACTTTAATCTTCTTTTCCTTTTAATTCTAGGTTCACTTTTTACGTCTTTTCCTTCCGGGGTTTTGGTTTTTACTTTGGATACCTGGGTTATACGGGCGGTAAGTTCATCCATTTCCCTTTCTTCTTCGTTAGTCCCTCCCACTAGGCCATTTATTTCTATTTGATATTTTAATCTAAATTTCTTGACTCTTTCTGTCCAACTTTCGCAGGCTTTATCGAGGTCTACGTCCCATTCGGATGCTTCGGGCCCATCATCTTCGGCAACAACCGTTCTATCGTCAAATTCACCATCAACTTCGCCAGGGTCAGCATTATCGTCTTCGTTATCGGCTTCATAACCAAGTTCGTCGAGTTTGGTGTCTTTCAGATGCGCGGGGTATGTTTCATCTTTGTTTTCTTTGTTTTTGGATTGTTCTTTTTCGACTCCAATTTCTTCATTAATCTTCATTTCGTTTTGACAGCAGGGTTCGCAGTTATACATTTCCCTGGTCCCTTCCTTATCAGGTACCTTTTCACGACATTCAGGTGCCTTGTTTTCATCTTTTTCAAAGCCAATTTCGGAAGCTTCTTTTCGGGGGGACCACTTCTTTGCTATGGCATTACATTCGGAAATCAGGTCCTGGAGGAGTTTCTCTGCATCGATCTCTTCGGCTTCAACTTGAAACTCGGGAACCTTTGGACTTGGGACTACTGGAGGCACTGGGGGCGGAACCTTTTTTTTCACAGGTGGAGCCAATTGAACGTACGAGGGCAAGTATATAATCTCCTCTTCTTGGTCATCGTCATTCGAGTTGTTATCCAGGCTAACATCTTTTAATACTTCTAAAAAATATTTCAAGCCTTGGGGGTTATCAAAACTAAGGTTTCTCATGGTCTCATCCATCGTTTCATAGGCTTTCGTGGTTTGTTCTTCAGTAAGTACGTCCAGCAACTCTAGACATTCCAGTTGCATCATCTTCGTTTTTGGGCACTTGCTAACTGCATGGGTTTCTTTTTTACAGTAGGAACACACAATTCCTTTTCGGGTACTTTCTCGGTTTCTTGGGACTTGCTGACGTCGGGGTGTTTTCGTTTGGCTTCCATATTGCCAACAGTTCGGATTGGAGGTGGTTGGTTGGTATATTTTGTACATTTTTTTTTTTTTTTTTTTTTTTTTTTTTTTAATTTTTCATGACTTTCTTACGCTATCGTTTACTTTCGCGGAGTACAACAAAAACTAACACACACAGGTTAGTACAACAAAAAAAATTTACAACAAAAAAAATTCACAAAAATTTTCACAAAACGAATTTAAAAAAAAATTATCCAAGTAAACATGGGTTGTGTTCTATCTCACAGTCACCACCAAAAATTGTCGGAGGCTAACAACACTAGCTCCAACTAAAAGAAACACAGTGACAGCGTCACTAACAAACCCAAGACACAGCGTAACGTGACACTACTTTAAAGAG